GTGTGTGTGTGTGTGTGTGTGTGTGGTGAATTGGCAGAGGTAGTTATTCAGATGTCAGCGGCTGCTGAGGTATTTCAGTCTTGAAGAAAAAACCACAAACAGGATCTTGGTATATCCCACACAGTATTCTCCCAGGCCACCCTACCTCCCCACCAGCTCTTCTTTTCTCTCTCTCTCCCTCTCATTCTCTTTCACACAACCTCCCCACACACACACTCACACACAAATGGGCTGCAGGACCTATGCTAGCAGCAGAGCCCCCCTCCCCCAGGTAGCTACAGAAGGGGTAGATGCTAGGGGAGGGTGAGAAGTCTTCCTGGAGCTCTCTAGGATTAGGGGTTAGTTCCAATGAGGACAGCTGGAAATGTCACAGTGATACAACTTCAGAGGTGATTTTCTTTGCTGTAGCCACTACATGGACATTTCCAAGGATTTGTACTTGGGAGCTCTGGTGGTGCAGTGTCTAAGGCATGACAGCTAACCAGGAAGTTGGTGGTTCAAACGCACCAGCTACTCCATGGAAGGAAGACGGGGCAATCTACTTCTGTAAAGATTTGCCACTTTGGAAACCCAATGAGGGTCGCTATGAGTCAGAGTCATTCAATGGCAGTGAGTTTGGTTTGGTTTAGCACTTGGGTATAGAGGCATCAGGATAGGGCTGGGAAGAGCACTTTTCTTTTTCCTTGCTCACGTGGGGTGTAAAAGCCCATGGTCTCAGTAATAGGAAACCTGATTTAGTCGCTCAGAGTTGAGAACCATTGGTCTAGACTTGTACATCCCAAAGAGGTGGTAGAGGCTAGGGAACTGCTGGAACGACCAGGCTTCCAGAGGGAGGCCCTCAAAGGCAGAGGTGTCCCCAGTAACTCCGTGGATCTGAGGAGCTTCCTGGCCTCATGGTGGGGTCAGGGCCTGATTGTTGGAAGGGGCTAGAGTTCAAATTGCATGTCTTTCATTTACTGGTTTGTAGTCCTGGGCAAGTGACTGACCATCTGTGGGCCTTGGTTTCCACTGTTATTCCCTCTGTAAAATGGGAATAATAATGATACTGACCTTATGGGCTTGTTATTCTGTTGTAAGTGAACTAGTATACATGAAACACTTAGAGCGTACCTCGCACGTGTCAATAAGTGTTAGTAATGGGCATTGTTGTTATAGCTTTATCTTTCATCCAAGACATTTGGAATAACAATTTGAGAAGAAGAGAAGAGGCAAGAGGCCACTGGGAAAAGAAGCTGCCTCCCCAGGGACCCCTGGAGCTGAGTCCTCCCAGAAGGAGACCAGAATGGGCTGCTCTGTGACTGGAGATGGACCAGCATGACTGCAGGCATTATATCTTCTCATCACCAGGAGGGCTCCAGGCCTCAGGAGCAGGCAGACAGGAGCTAACGTCCCACTGCAGGACTGCCCACTTGAGCCTGAGCCAGGAGGGGGCAGGACCCCCAGCCACAGGCCACTCCACCTTGACATCCGGCCATGGTTACAATCTCCCCGTGTCTGTTCTCCTCCCATACATGAGAATTTAACAGCCATCCTTCAACTCTGAAAATCAAGTTGGGGAGACATGCCAAACTGTCAAAGAGGAGCCATGACAGGTGGAGAGTTTGCTGTCTTACACTCCCTTAAAGTCCTAAAGATGGTTAAGTCAGTGGTTAAATGCCTGACTGGTAAACTGAAAGGCTGGCACTTTGAACCCACCAGTGGCTCCATGGAAGAATAGACCTGGTGATGTGCTCCCATAAAGATTATAGCATAGGAAACCTTATGGGGCAGTGAGTCTCTGACCTATAGGGTCGCTATGAGTCAACTAAACAGCTAGCAACCACATAGTCCTAAGGTGTCCCTGGGTGGTGCAAATGGATTAGTACCCTCAGCAGCTAATCAGAAGATTGGAGGTTTGAGTCCACCAAGAGGTGCTTCAGAAGAAAATTTTACTTCCGAAAAATCAGTCACTGAAAACTACAGAGCATAGTTCTACTCTGACACCATAGGGTCGCCAGGAGTGGGAGTTAGCTCCTTGGCAGCTGTTCATTTGTTATAGTCCTAAAGCACTTGGCTTTCATGGAGTTTCATACCCATCTTCATGTGCCCCTCCTACCCTCTGAGTAGGTGGGGCTGATGTGGCCCCATGATAACGATGTCCACATGACCTGTCACTGCTTTGAGCAGAGATACAGCCAAAACTCAAAACTCATTTCTGTATCTTCTTTCCCCCACAGAGATAGTGGAAGCATGGAAAAGGGGGTTGCATGCTTGCTAGACATCTATCCTGTGTCACCTCACAATGACCCTAGAGTAGACAGGATTATTCCCATTTGACAAGTGAGGACACTGAGGTTCAGGGAGGCTGAGCTTTTGCTAATGCTGCAGGGCCAGCCCTGTTGAAGTGCATGTTGGTGTTTTATTTTTTTTAAACTATATGATCTTTTTTTTTTTTTTTTTTAATTTTAGATTGGGTTTTAAGTCAGACTGGTGTGACAATTAAGGAGCTCTGGTAGCTCAGTGGTTAAGCACTCAGCTGCTAACCAAAAAAGGCTGATGATTCTAACCCACCAGCCGCCTCATAGGAGAAAGTCTGCTTCTGTAAAGATTTACAGCCTTGGAAAACCTATGAGGCAGTTCTACTCTGTCCTACAGGTTCAGAATTAACTCACTGGTAATGGATTTGGCTTGTTTGTTTGTTTGGTGTGACAGAGTTTGATGATTGAAGGGAGGCTAGAGACTTTGGCTCCTTTGGTAGAAGAGGTCAGGAATTTGGAGGAGCAGGGTTTTTAAAATTTTTATTGTGATTTGGGTGAAAGTTTACAGAACAAATTCATTTTCCATACAGCAGTTCATACACATTTTGTTTCATGACATTGCAGTGTCCCCTAGTGTAACAGCTCTCTTCCCACTTCTTCCCTGTAGTTACCTCTTCCCTGTCTCTTTCCCTCCCTTGCACTCCCAACCCCCCACCTGCCCCCAAGCTGTCTCCTTGTACAAACACTGCCCTTCTGTTCTCATTGATCATGGAGGAGTGGGGTTTTGAAGTAGGAATATCTGAGTGGGAGGGCAAGGGGACCAGCGGGGATACCCAAAGCAAAGGTGAGAGGGAAGTCCTGACTTCAGCAGGGAATGAGGAGGGGTGTCCCAGCAGCTCCACACAATTGTGACCTGAGGAAGCCCACAGAGAGCCACCCACCCAGGCTCCTGAGTTGGCAGGACGGTTGTTATCACATGTTTTCCAATAACTGTGAACCTCACAGAAATGCAGCCAGTGACTTCTGCCTTTAATTGGCACTGGCCATTTCCAATTCCGGTGTGTGTGACTGGGCCCCTTTCTTTGTGTTTGACCCCTGCCTCCACATACACCTCACCCCGCCCCTGCCCCCGTACATCATACAAAGAACGAATGAGCTAACCCGGCTGTTCTCGGGGTGTGCTGTGTGTAAAAATACATGGGGTTGAGCCATTTCCTGCTGCTTCCGCTGTTACATGGCGATAAGACACAGGGACTCAGCTGTGGACAGAGCTCCTCCCCTCGGGCAGAGGGGAGCCAGGCCCCCAGGACAGAAGGCCCCCAGCCTGCCCTTTCTCTTCTGACCTTGTGTTTCCCATCTTTTCTCTCTTCTGTGAACCTCTCCCCTCCTTTCTCTTTCTCATCTTCTATCTTAGACTCTCTGTTTTATGTTGCTTGTGCCACCTTAATGTGCTTGAGAAGCCTGCCTGCTGGTGAGGAGAGGGGACCTGTCGTTTCCTTACTGGGTATCCACCCCCTGCCAACTGGCAGCTGGCCCCCTCAGGCCCCCAGAGCTGGTCCCCACTTCCCTTGGCCTGTGAGTTATTTTTCAGACTTCAAGCCCTGGGAACCTGGTTAGCAGGGCAGGTGGGTGTATGCACTTCGCCCAGGTCTGGAAGACCAGGCAGGGCTGAGCACTTCCACCACTATGAAGCGGAGGAGGTTGCTGACGACTCCAGAGAGCTGGAAGGTAATGTAGGGGGCTGGAGAGCTGTCAGCAGAGGCAGGTGACCCACTGGGCTGCATTAGTGAAGATGGGGTGGGGAGGGCAGGGAGACATCCTGTGCCTGCATGGGGTGAGCTCTGAGGAAAAAGCACCTAAGACAGGAGTCTTAAGGGGAAGATGAGTTCTAAAAATGACCAGGCTTACTGGTCTGATAGAGCCTGGCAAGACCCCCGAGACTATGACCCCTACTCACCCTTTAGGCCTGGAAGTGAACTCACACCCGTGGCTTCCAGCCAAACAATAGGTGTACAGGATGAACATTTATACCAGGTATGTACACTCCTTAGAACAGTCAATCATGGGAGATCAGAAGGGCAGGATTTGCACAGGGAGGTAGCTTAGGGGGCAGGAATGCATAGGAAAGGACACAGAAAAAGGGTAACTGGAGAGAGGAAGTGGGAAGAGAACTGTTACACTGTGGGGATTGCAATCAATATCACAAAACAAAATGTGTATGAACTGTTGAGTGGAAAAGAATTTGCTCTGTAAACTTTCACCCAAATAACAATAAAAAAATAAAAAGGAGGAAGATGAGTACAGAGGGACAGTTTTGTCTTAGCACTGAGAAATCAACCCTGTGACTCTTTAGTGAGGTCTTAGACCTGCTTGGCCTGTGTGATGGAGCAATAGGAGTTCTGGGTTGGAAGTGCTGTCATTCTGTAGCTGTCCATTCCTGAGCAATGTGCTTGACCTCTCTGGGCCAATTTCCTGATCTGTAAAACAAGGAGGAGCAGATGTGTCCAGACTGCATTTTTGGATGTTGTGGGAATTTGGTAGATGGCAGAGATGAGAATGTAAATGGCAGGCTGGAATGCAGTAGGGGAATGCTGTTCTTCTTTTGGGCTCTTTGCCTGAAGAGTCCTAACCAGTCTGCATCCACTTTACAGGTAGAGAAACCCAGTCCAGAGGTGTCCAGGGGCACATGAGAGAATTCTGCTGAATTGCCTGCCTGTGGTTTCCTGATTTATCCATGTTTCCTCTGCTTGCCTTCCTCTCCAGGTGGACAAAGGGGACCTTGTGGCCCTGAGCCTCCCTGGCGGCCCTGGCCATGGCGACACCGATGGCCCCATCAGCCTGGATGTGCCAGAAGGGGTACCAGACCCCCAGCGGACCAAGGCCGCCATCGACCACCTGCACCAGAAGATCCTGAAGATCACAGAGCAGATCAAGATCGAGCAGGAGGCACGGGACGACAATGTGGCAGAGTACCTGAAGCTAGCCAACAACGCGGACAAGCAGCAGGTGTCACGCATCAAGCAGGTGTTTGAGAAGAAGAACCAGAAGTCGGCCCAGACCATCGCCCAGCTGCACAAGAAGCTGGAGCACTACCGTCGGCGCCTGAAGGAGATTGAGCAGAATGGGCCCTCGCGGCAGCCCAAGGACGTGCTGCGGGACATGCAGCAAGGCCTCAAGGACGTGGGTGCCAACATGCGCGCCGGCATCAGCGGCTTTGGGGGCGGTGTGGTGGAGGGCGTCAAGGGCAGCCTCTCAGGCCTCTCACAAGCCACCCACACCGCCGTGGTGTCCAAGCCCCGGGAGTTTGCCAGCCTCATCCGTAACAAGTTTGGCAGCGCCGACAACATCGCCCACCTGAAGGACCCTCTGGAGGATGGGCCTCCCGAGGAGGCAGCCCGGGCACTGAGTGGCAGTGCCACACTGGTGTCCAGCCCCAAGTACGGTAGTGATGACGAGTGCTCCAGTGCCAGCGCCAGCTCAGCTGGGGCGGGCAGCAACTCAGGGGCAGGGCCTGCTGGTGTGCTGGGGAGCCCTAAGTCAAACACGCTGTACGGTGCCTCTGGGAACCTAGACACTCTGCTGGAGGAACTGCGGGAGATCAAGGAGGGGCAGTCACACCTGGAGGATTCCATGGAGGACCTGAAGGCTCAGCTGCAGAGAGACTACACCTACATGACCCAGTGCCTGCAGGAGGAGCGCTACAGGTAGGTGCCTGCTCAGCCCCACTGCAGCCTTGGGACCCAGGGACGCCTGTGAGCCTGTGCCACAGACTCCAAGTTACAGACTTGGAGTTACAGAGGTGGATGAAGGACCCTTTAGACAGGTCCTGAGCTGCTGGAAAGGTGGCCCTGCAAAGTCTTCCTTGGGATTTCTCAGAGCAGCTAGAAGATAGCAGACATGGATCATAGGACCTGTGGAAGGAAAGCCTTACCTATCTCAAGATACTGTGAGCATCCCTGCCTGGATCATTATATGGTCATTGTATAGAAGGGGAAACTGAGGCAGGGACCAGCTTCATAGCCTCTCAGCTGGAGACACTTTGGTTAAGAGCACCAGCTCCAGAGCAAGAATTCCCCCTTGTCATTGCATCCCTTCCAACTCATAGTGACCGTATAGGACAGAGTAGAACTGCCTGGGCTCAAATCCCAGCCCTGCTATTTACCAGCTATCTTGCACAAAGTACTTAACCTCTCTGGATTTGGTTTTCTTGTCTGTGAAATGGAGATGAAATGAATGAATACTTACCTCATAGGATCATTGTGAGGTCGAGTGAATCTAAACATGTAAAGTCAAAGTATGTGAATACATATACATGGTGAGTATGAACCTCCGGTTGAAATGCCTGAGGTCAGCCTGGAGTCAAGCCAGTTTCGGGTCCTTTGCCTCTGCTGGCCTCTGCTCTTTTGCTCTGTATCTCTCATTGTGGCATTTGGCACTTGCTCCCTGGTATTGTTGGGGGTCTTTTCATTAGTCAGTCCTTTTTCTATTTCTTCTCTCTTAAATGGGAAGAAGGTTTGGAAAGCTGAAGGGAAAGCTCATCTAAAATCATACCACACCACATAATAGTCATCTTTTGATCTTTCATATCTTGAGAGAAGAGACCATGTCCTCTACACAGTGTGTAGAATTGTGTAGCAGTGTGTCCCTGTTACCCAGGAAGCATCCTAGCTCAAGGCAAGGTTGAATGAAGTCATTCAATCCCCAGCTTCTCCATTTACAAGGCATGTGATACTAGGCAAGTTCCTTAACCTCTCCAGACTTCAATCTTCCCACCTGTAAAATGGGATCACACTAGTGCCTACCATATGGTGAGGATCATACGAGACACATGGGTTAAGTGCGTAGCACGGTGCCTGCATGAAATAAGGACTGTGTCAATAGCAGCTGTTGTTGTGGCTGCTAAAATTAGAGTAAGGTGGAACATGAGGGGTGGGTTGAGTCATTGTTTGTTGAGGAAATGAATGAAATTGATCCTGGGGACAGAAGGGAGATGTGGGGAGCCAGGCTTTGTGGCACGACTTCTCTCCTGTGCCAGGTACGAGCGGCTGGAAGAGCAGCTCAATGACCTCACTGAGCTGCACCAGAATGAGATGACCAACCTGAAGCAGGAGCTGGCCAGCATGGAGGAGAAGGTGGCCTACCAGTCCTACGAGAGAGCCCGAGACATCCAGGTGAGGCCAGAGATTGACCCTGGGGACGCCCTTGGCAGCAGCCAGAGTAGGGGCTGGGGAGCCCAGCCTGTTCTGCTGGTCATGGCAGATAGGTACAGGGTTACAGAGTGCAGTGTGGGGTGGGTGGAGCTGAGACAGTATGAGAGTGCAAGGTGTAAAGGCAAGCTGACTGCCAAGGGCTGCTTATGCCCTCACCTCTTCCATGGCAGGGAGCTCTAGTAGCATAGTGGCTAAGGCACTTGACTGCTAACCAGAAGGCTGGCGGTTCAAACCCACCAGCCACTCCTTGGAAGGAAGATGGGGCAATCTACTTCTGTAGTGATACTGCCTTGGAAACCCAAGGAGGGCTCACTATGAGTCGGGTCCAACTTGACGGCACATAACAACAACAACAACAACTTCCATGGCAGCCTTAGAAATGAATATTTGGAAATTCCCCATTCAGTAACAACTGGTGGAATTGCTGGGTGGTGCAAATGGTTAAGTTCTGGGCTGCTAACCAAAAGGTCAGCAGTTAGACCTCACCCAGAGACACCTTCTAAGACAGGCCTGGCAATCTGCTTCTGAAAGGTCACAGCCATGAAAACCCTACGGAGCACAGTTCTACTCTGAAACACATGGGGTGGCCATGAGTTGGAATCAACTTGATGGCAACTGGTTGGTAGGTTCGCCTGCCTCAAGAGGGAGCTGGGATTGGGCCAGCTCTTCCCCATCCCACATCATCAAGACTCCCATGTCCTGCAGTCTCAAATACTCATAAAAGACCCAGCCCCTAGTCACAGCTGATCAGCCTGCTCCCCTTTGGAGGGTCGTCCTTGTGCATTGTCACCTTCTCAGTGGGGTAGGCAGGTAGGGCTCAGCCTTGAGGGTCCTGCCTGCCCTGAGCTCCCATGTGCCAACCTCTCTGACCCTGCAGGAGGCCGTGGAGTCCTGCCTGACCCGGGTCACCAAGCTAGAGCTACAGCAGCAGCAGCAGCAGGTGGTGCAGCTAGAGGGCGTGGAGAACGCCAATGCACGGGCACTGCTGGGCAAGTTCATCAATGTGATCCTGGCACTCATGGCCGTGCTGCTGGTGTTTGTGTCCACCATTGCCAACTTCATCACGCCCCTCATGAAGACACGCCTGCGCGTCACCAGCACCGCCCTCCTAGTCCTTGTCCTCTTCCTCCTCTGGAAGCACTGGGACTCCATCAGCTACCTCCTGGAGCACGTGTTGCTGCCCAGCTGAGTGGCCAGCCTGCCCCTGTCCCGTGTTCTCCTGGCCCTGCTGGCCATGCTTCTTCTCCACGAGGGACCTGGGACTGCCAAGTCCCTTGGATTTCTTCATGTGTCCAGTTTGGCTTTCTGCCCAAACTGTCCATTCCAGCAGCTCCTGCCCCTTCTCTGTCCCTGCTTCTGTCTGACATCTTCTCCCTGCTGGCCTGAAGGGAGCCTAGAGTATAACCCTAGTGGAGATGGAGATGACATGTGTGGCCTGTGCAGCAGAGGAGGACATGGAGGTTCAATTGTTTTGATGATTTGTACTCACACTAGGACTTCTCCCAGCTGACCTCAGGATGCTCCCAGTCAGGAAGGCCATAGAGAGGAGTGAAAGGCAGGGCTGTGCCTCACCTTTCCTGGGGAAGAGCCTACCTTGGCGACGGCCAGAATGAAGGCAAGAGAGCGAGGGAGCAGGCTCCTCCATTGGCCCAGTGAGAGTACTAAGGCCAGAGAGGAGGCTCAGAGCAGCTATCTGGAAGGCCCCACAACCCCTTTTCCCTCCAGAGCCAGTTTGAGGCTGGATTCTGGGGCCAGATCTGCCACTCCAGTGATGTGAAGGATACAAGCTGTGGTAGCTTGTAGAGGTGTGGCTTTGGACTTGCGTTTTCTCTGTTATTCTTCTACTTGTCACTGGATCTGCCATTTTCAGGGAAACAAGCCCCTGGGCTCCCCCTCCCCCAACACCTCAGGCCTCAGCCTATATGCCCTTAGGCCTCTGGGAGCACTTTGGGTTCTATTTATTTATTTATTTGTCCCTTTGTTTCCTCACCCCCTCCCTTCTCCCTGGAGCCAGGGCTTATCCTGGGCTCTTGAGGGCACTTCCTTACCGTTTGGCCTCTGGATAATGCCAGCGAGGAGAAGTGGGCAAAGCCGCCCTGCCCACCCTCCGGAAGCAACGCCTCAGCCAGGATGGGAGGAGCGGGGCTTCTTTTATACGTCCATTTAGTCTATTTATATTTGTACGTGTGTATTTGTGTGAAGAAGGTTGTTTGTTGCTTTATTTTTTTAAGGCTCTGGAGTGTTGTGTATGGTTTCTCTTCACATCCCAACCTTCCCATGGCTCCTTCCAAGAAGAGAGGGTATTTCTTGGAAAAGGAGAAAGGAACCTCCCAGAGCAGGGGAGGGCAGTACCTGCCAGCTGTTGTGGACCTTCCCGAGAAATAAATATCCTCTAAATTTTCAAGCCATCCTCTCTCTTGTTGATTGGTTACATTGTCTCCATGGAAACCACAAAGTCTCTCCCCACACCCACGTGTCCTGGGTAACACACACTGGGCTTTACCCACTGGCCTGAGTCTGCCTTCCTCCAGGATCAGACAATGAATCGTCTCTTCTACGCTTCCCACTTTTCTTTGTGCGACCAAAGTTCTGGCCTAAGTGATAGGGAAGTAGGGGTGACACCCACCTCATCCATCCTTCCTAGAAAGCTTTCCAGGAGAAGGGAACATTGGAGAGAGATTTCCAGACCTTGGGGAAGAAAAGCAGTGGGAGGCCTGGATGACAGCAGTCATGCCCAGATATGGACACAAGAGGGCAGCAGAGTCCCTACTCGACCCTCTTCAACGCAGTCTGTCCAGAGGCCGGGTAGCCTGCTGACCAGGAGCTGGAGTGTGGTCTTGAGAACAGAGGTTCACAAACCAGGTTTTCAGGATCTGCTCTCTGTAGCTGTAGCTCCCACCCCTGGTGGTTCCTAATGGACACCCACAGAAGGGACCAGATTCCCAGCAGGAACCCTGTGGGAGCTTGAAAGAGGTTGTTTAAGTATGTAGTCCTAAGGCATTTGGCTGCTAACCAAACAGCTAGAGGTTTAAACACACCAGCCACTCCTCAGAAGGAATACTGAGCAATCTACTTCTGTAGGGGTACTGCCTCAGAAACCCAAGGGGTCGCTATGAGTTGAATCGACTCAACGCCAGTGAGTTTGGAGTTTATTTTACTGCAGCGAGGGAGATGCTGGCCTCTGGCATAAGGAGCTCTGGTGGCATAGTGCCTAAGGCATTTGACTGCTAAGCAGAAGGTTGGCGGTTTAAACCCACCAGCCACTCTGTGGAAGGAAGACTGGGCAATCTACTTCCATAAAGATTTACCACGTTGGAAACCCAAAGGGGGTTGCTATGAGTCAGAATCAACTTGATGGCAGTGAGTTTGGCTTTTCAAATTAGCATCATGGGAGCAGGAGGAGTTTGACAACCATACTCCCTCCACCCCACCCCCCAAGTCTGGAGACCTGGCTGCCTGTGATAGGGTACCTGTGACCAACTCACATCCCCTCTCTGGGCCTCAGTTTCCACATCTGTAGTGTGGGACAGAGGTTGTAACTGCTCATTTCAAAAGGCTCTGACATTCTGAGGTTTTGTGGATCTGAGGTATCTAAAGTTTGCAACTGTATCCGTGACCTCTGGCTTGAGGGAATTCCAAAAGTGAGGGACTGGGGCCCTTCAGATAAGAGAGAGGGCACTGTGCTGGCCCTAAGGAGCATGGCATTGGCAGTTTATCTTCACCTTTTTACAGTGCAGGAGTTTCACCAGGTCACCTCTGCAGCACCTTCCAACAGAGCCATTCCTGTGCCCAGCACCCACTGCTCTTCTGGCCACAGCGCTGTTGGGGGCCTGGGTAGCAGGGAGTCACATTCCTGGGCCCCAGGTAGGGGGTGGCTACTCTGGGTTGCAGACATTTCCCACATTCCTCCCCAAGGTCAGGTGCCTTCCCTGCACGGGTTCTTAAATGTCACTGCCAGCCACAGTCCACACCAAAAGGGAGGAGGGAAAAGAGAGGGCGGGGGTCATTCTCTTCAGCTGATCCTGAGGCTGCAAAGCAAACAGAGAGGAGGGAGGAAGATCATCTGCAAAAAGGACAGAAGAAACACAGGCCCAGGTTTGCCTCATCGTTTTGATGACAAGGCTGTCTCGTGGAGCCATGTGCTGTCTGGGAACTGGGTTTTATTCCTCTGGTGGTCACTGACACTTCCTTGTTTGTCCCTGTTCCCTCTGTAAAAAGGGGTATTACCCCCCACACACACACACACACACACACACTCCACTCCAGACCTGCCCCCTTCTCCTACCTGGGTTCATAGGGAGATAGTCAATCAGGTTGCCTCCTCTGCTGAGGACCATCCTCCCTGGAATAGCAGGATCAATGAGCAGATTCCTCCGGAGCTCTTGCCCCACAGACCCCAGCCCACACCTGGGGGGCCAGAGCGCTCAGCCAGGCAGGTCCACTCCCCCAGCTTTTGCCGGCCCAGAGTGGGGGCGGCTGAAGTCCTCTCTGCTGGAGTCGGCGCTCCAGCAGCACTTGGCGGGCAGGTGGCTGGCCTGGAGCAGGCAGGCTTCCCGTGCCCGTGCAGAGCTGGCACTCTCTGCCAGTAGGTGCAGTCCTAACAAGTGACTTACCCGCCTTCACCTCAGCTGGTTCAGTGGTGGAATTCTCACTTTCCATATGGGAGCCCCGAGTTCGAGTCCCAGCCAATGTACCTCATGCATTGCCACCAGCCACCTTGTCAGTGGAGGCTTGCATGTTACTGTCATGCTGGATAAGTTTCAGCGGAGTTTCCAGGCTAAGAAAGACTAGGAAAGAAGGTTTGGGGATCTATTTCTGAAATTCAGCCAATGAAAACCCTGTGGGTCCAACGGCCCAAGCCACAGCTGCTCATGGGGATGGTGATGGCCAGGCAGCGTTTCATTTCCTTGCGCATGGGGTCACCATGAGTCAGGGGCTGACTTGGCAGCAGCTAACATCAACAACCCCAAGTTACTCCAGGGTGATTCTGGGTTACCGAGGGAAAAAGATTTTCGTGGCAGCCTCCATTTCCCTTTCTGTAGCAGTGAAGTTGGATTCTAATACTGAAAGCACAGGCTTATGGAGGCTGGCTGACCTGGGTTCGGATCCCAGTGCAGCCACTCAGACAACATGCCGGTGCTCAGACCAGTCTCTTCACCTGCCAATAGGAATAGGAATTGCATCTGGCTCACAGGTGTTGGGCACAGGATACTGCTTGTCATGACCTTAGCACAGTGTCTAGTACACGATGAGGAATTAACCCAGGTCAGTTACAACACCTCATACCTGAGCCCACAGGGATGTTAAAGTGCAGACAAACTTGCTCAGAGTAGTCCAAGGCAGACCCTGTGGGGATGAACAAGGCTGAGGCCAACTGAATGAGTCTGCCCTCTGACCTGGAAGTGTTGAAGAAGATGCTATTAGCTCAGTAGAGGCCTCACAGCTCCTCTTCCCCATGAGCTGAGAGCCTGCTGCATTCCCAGAAGCCTCTCCTTTAAACCTTGTAAGCAAAGTTAGTCTAGTGGCATGCTGTCAAGCCCCAACTTGAGAGAGGACCAGACAGAGGCTTGTCTAGACCAGGCCAGCTGCTATCACTCTGGCCTTGCCAGAGTGTCAGTGTGTGGGTCTTCCTCTAAACATGGTCCTGTGCATGGGGGTCTAGGAAAGAGCTGGAATTAACATCAAGGGGCCCAGGTTTTTGAGTTGAGACTCAGCCACTCATGAGCTATCAGGTCATAGGCCTCAGTTTCCCTGTCTGAGACATGAGGATAAAGATATCATCTGTGCTACCCAACCAGCAGAGCCATTGTGTGGCTCAGATGTAGTGTGAGTGTCTTCCCTCACATCACCCCAAGGTCTCCCTGTATGGGAACCACTTGTTAGGATGCTGCCCCTGATCTCCAGCCCGAGGGAGGGCTCTGACCTGCGTGGGGGCAGGCCTGGGGCAGGACTTAGGAAAGTGGCCAACAGTGACCCCTCAGCCAAATGGCTTGCAGCCACCCTCCAGATGGAGATGAGAAGAAATGTGGGCCACACCAGGTTGGGATGGCATGTGGGGAGGGGAGGCTGGGACTTGCCCCAGCACATCCTGACCTGCCAGCAGGACCTGAGTCAGCCAGCCAGAGAGTAGTGCAGGGTGGTGGTAGCAGCACTTCCTCCCACACACCAGCCTCCCAGTACAGCTCTCCCTCCTCAGACAGCCCATCCCTGCCCTGGTCACAGCCCCCAAGGCCGACTGTCTGATGAGGTATCCTAGGCCCAGCAGTGTGGGCTAGGCCACCTCAGCCATGCCCCTACCTTGGCAGCCACTCATTCAAGTTGGCTGTGTTTCCAAAAACACCCAGAGGAGATTCCACAAGCTCCCAGGTGCCCAGGTTCTCCTGCCCAGCCAGTCTCCTAGCCTAAAGGTTCTTTTGTTGCCTTGCTTGGCTGCTCTTTCTTGCTGTCACTTCAGTTCACTGGGATGGGGTCACCATGAGTCAGACTTGTTGACAATGAATTATCTGGGGGTGGGGTTGAAAATAAGCCTAAAGTCAAAGCTTGAGAAAGATCTGGGTCTTTGTGGTCTGGGGGCTCAGTTCTCTGGTTTCCTTCAGGAAGGCTGAGTCGGTTCAGTAACACCTTCCCGAGTCCCCAGCTCTAGTAAGAAACCACCCAC